TATGTTTCCCTTACGTTTATTATTGGTATCTTTTACTGTCTTAGATAGCCGCTTCATTATTACGTAATGTTAAACATAAAGTAAAAATGAAAATAAATTATAAAATATCTCAACTGTACTGATTTACCTTTATTCATAGCAAGAGTGATGGTACTCAAAAAAAACCATCAATACTGCGCAGTGCGCGAAACTTGTTGCTAATTGAAATGACCGGGTAAAATTAAGACGCTGTACTAAAAAGGCATATGAATGAACATTCGTCTCAGTCAAGGGCAGGGATCTTTTGAAAAAGTCCAGTGTCTCCTAGAGAACCTAACCAAATAAATGTAGGATTCAAAACAGTATTTCGACAGCCAGTGCAGATAGAACTCCCACAAACAAAGGATCTGAAACTCAAGAGACGCCTTAGGATTTTACGCAACCTTTGCCTTGAGTACTCAGTACAAACCCGAGACTGCAGTATATACACTTGTTAGCATCGGTGCTGCAAAAGGCACAGTTGTTGTCAGTACATGGTACACATGTGCCAAGTTTCACACCGTATCCTGCATAGCATTTTGTACACTTGTTAGCATCGGTGCTGCATGTTTCGCACATATAGTCAGTACATGGTACACATGTGTCATCTTTCACACCGTATCTGTCAATACAGGTCGTACACTTGTTAGGATCGGTCCTACATAAGAAACACTTTTTATCAGTACATCGTACACATGCGCCCTCTTTCAAACCGTATCCGGCATAGCAGATCGTACACTTGTTAGCATCGTGGGTGCAAAAAAAACAGTTTTTATCAGTACATGGTGGACATGCGCCATCTTTCAAACCGTATCCGGCAATAAAGATCGAACAGTTGATAGCATTGATGCTGGAAAGGAAACAGTATATATCAGTACATGGTGCACATGCGCCATCTTTCAGAGTATACCCGGTATTGCAAATTGAACATTTGGTAAAATCTGTGCCGCATATAAAACACGCCTTGTCAGTACATGGTGCACAAATGCCATCTTTCACACCGTATTCTGCAGAGCATTTTGTACACTTGTTAGCATCGGTATTGCATGTTTTGCAATATTTGTCTTCACATCGTACACATGCGCCATCTTTTACACCGAGTCCGGGATAGCAGCTTGTACACATGTTAGCATCAGTGCTGCATATGTCACAGTATTTGACAGTACATCGTACACATGCGCCATCTTTCAAACCGTATCCGAAAGCGCAGCTTGTGCACTTATTAGTATGAGTGCTGCATGTTTTGCAGTGCTTATGAGTACATGGTCCACATCCGTCCTTTATGACAGTGTACCCGATATGGCAGTTTGTACACTTGTTAGCATCTGTTGGGTTGCATGCATCGCAATTAGGGACAGTGCAAGCAGGGTTGTCACCCAGAACCGTGCCCAGTGGTAATGCCAACATATTTGGCGCTGCTGGTTTCATTATATCGTCAGAGAGAGGGGAGACATCAACGTTCAGCGCAAGGTTATCCGCGTGCGCTAGCTTCATCAGTAAGAGCATCGCGCAGAAAAGCGCCATCCATGTGGTTTGGGTGCGCATTATGATTGTAGAATATGAAAGGTGCAGTGACAGGGGAAGAAGAGGTGCGACTGTTTGTAGTAGGGTAGGTGTTTGGATCAATTACTTGGGAACTAACTTCTAGATTTATGGTGCTGGAAATAAGTAAGCGGGTATGAATGTAACGAATATTAGGGATATGATACTAATAACGATGTAGAGAAAAGAGGTTCGCGTGTGTTAGCAATGGAGAAGGTAGAGCTAATGATGCC